TAACCACTGCTATGAATCCGGTGTTCATCTTGTTGTGCTGATGCGGTATGGCAACCTGGACCGATGCACATATGTGCCTGGTCCTACGTTGTAGCTGACTGACTGAATGATAAATATTAAGATTTTTTCTTTCTTACATTTAAATTACAGTTTAGTCAATCAGAATAATTTAATACAATATGAACAATTTATTAATCAATTGAATTGGAAAAATTATGAAATTAAAGAATTATATATTCAACCATCATTGGATTCTATTGGAAATATTAATATTGATTGGTTACCAATAAGTAAAGGTGATATGCCAAAATCAATTAATTTAAGTAAAAAATCAAAAATCGATAAAATCAATTACAAACAATTAATTAATGATTTATTTATGAAAGATTTATTTCATTCATCAATTGATTAATTAATCAGTTTAATAAAATAATTAATTATTATTTTATTTCTCTTTTATATACAAAATCTGTATACGAAAAAAAATATATATATATATATATATATATATATATATATATATATATATATATATATTCATTTTAGATACAAAATTGCCTAGTTATTGTTAGTCAATTGAAGGAATGAAAAGATAACAAATTATCTATCTGTTATGTTAATAAGAATGTTGAAGTAATATGAAAAAAAAAACATATAGATGGATAAGTAATATGCTTTACAAAGGTTATTTTATTTATTTATTTCAACACATAGATATCGGTACAAAGAGGCACCAAATACATATGCGCCACACAAATCTCATTCGATATGTGTGAGAGCTGTGATACTGCCCGGGTGCCCAAACCGAAGCAGGTGGTTTTCTTAAGGGCCACACCCCGAGCCTTCGACCACAAGGCAGTGGAGCATCGTAAGGAGATACAGTCCCATGGTAGCCGGTGACCAACAATTGGTTCATACGCCATTTGTTCCCTCAACATACTGGAGTCCATGTATACCATTGGTTTCGAATCCGGTTAAAGAGCCAAGCATTCGCTTTTCGTCCTCTCATTTACATAAACAACACCCCTGCCACGAGAAAGCAATGAGTAGGACTTCCCTGGCAAAGGCTATATACGCGTGGCCATGTGAGAGCATTTCTAGAGGGAGAGCGGACTCTCCCTACTCTCAGCCGTACCAGGGCACTTGGAGGCCTTTACAAAGGTGATCAATAATGGATATGTAAAATATTTAAATAAAATCATTAAACAAAGAAAGGGTAATAAAGTTTGGAGAATAAAATGAATTCATTCTATTTCATAGTTTCTTATCAGCTGCATACAACGTAAACTTGTTATTATTAATATCGTGAGTCAATTGAAGCTAGAGCACCATGAAAAACCTGAAAGCACTGAATGACCATTTCATCCTACTGTGTTAGTTGAAGTTAGACGTGAACACCGTTGGATGACGGCTGACTCAGTGGTCTAGAGGATAAGTGCTTTCGTGTGAAACCGATAGGTCCTTGGTTCCGATCTCGCGAAGCGAGATCGTGAGTGCGCACTGCTGAGGAGTTCAACAAAAAGACGAAACGGCCGTCCAGTGTTTACAGGTTTTCCACGGTGGTCTAGTTTCAATTGACTCGTGATCTCAACTATTAAAATAAATATAGTTATCACAAGTGATTGATCACTGGGTGGTGATCAATGTCATGTGTGTCAAGTCCTTATTGGTGCAAATTGAATGCTATCGACCAAGTTGCAATGTGGCCACTAGTCTAGGTGACTCGACACTGCATGCACTAGTGTGAGATTAGATGGTGGTTGGATGCAGTCAACAGGAAATCCTGAACACGGGTTTCGTGCCACTTGGCACTCGTCAGCAATGTGTACCTGTGATCTTGAAGGAACTGGTGCTCTCTCTGACGGATTCGATCTCGTGTCACCCAGCTTCACAGTCAGAGACGTTACTATTGTGCTATCCGGGCCGTGATCGACCTCCTGTGGGTTTGAGATGTGATCACAATTGATTGGTCTACACTAGGAAGGACTTGACACACATGACATTGATCACCACTCAGTGATCAATCAGTTGTGATTACATCTCAGTCCTACAGGAGATCGGTCACGGCCTGGATAGCACAGTAGTAACGTCTCTGACTGTGAAGCTTTTGGACACGGGATCGGATCCATCAGAGAGCACCAGTTTCCTCAAGATTACAGGTATACCTTGCTGACGAGTGCCAAGTAGCACGAAACCCGGGTGCAGGATTTCTTGTCAACTACCTCCAAACACCATCTAATCTAAATATAATTATTAACAAATGTTTAGCAAACTTTAGTTTTCTAACATCAACTTCATCGGTCATTTAAGTAAGTTTGTGAAGTTTAGATAAATGTTCGAAACGCAATCAAGATCGTAATATTCAGAAGAATAAATACACAAATTATATGAATAAACAGAGTGAAGATTGATTTGTGTTTATTATTTTGCGAAGTAATAATTCAGAGATTATATGAAAGTAAAAAAATGAATGGAAAAATAAACAAATATGTAAAAATAAATCATATTATATAAAAGATGAATATCAGAAAAATAAAAATAAAATATTTGGAACAGGGTTGAATAAAGACTAAAATTAACAAAGGTTATTTAGACAAATATCCAATCATCATAACAGGGAAAGATTAATCAAGCTTTCCTTTCGCATACATAGGTCAGGTCGGGAAGGTTTGGTAGCGATCGCCTCTGCAAAACGGATTAAAATTGGTAGTTTTTGTCTGTTGGTTATTTTGAATACATCAACAGAAAAGCTTCTTTTCAGTTAAATCTAAGGATTATAGGACAGCCGTTTCGTGCATATCTGAGAATCCTTAATAGTGTACACGACTAACTGGTGTTCTGACCCATATCTGAAGATTGTTCAAACTAAATTATAATTAACATACCACTACTCTCGGTATATGCTGTGCAAGTTGAATTACGTGTTTATTTCAAACATAGAGGATAGAAATACATTGACGTTTAATGGAGAGAAACACTACTTTTGTCAATTTTCTCTTTTAAAATTATTCAACATCATTTACTGTAACCCATTTAGCAAAGAAAAGTTAACATGGTCGGTTTTCAATGACATGGTTTGTGTGAAAGATAATGATACTATACGTTTACCCAGCGATTTCCTTGTAAAAAACCGAATGAATTAAACATGAGAACACTTCTCTGAAAACCTATAAACTTATATTCATAAATACTGAAAGTATAAGACACCTGCCATCATAGACTGAAAACCACTGAAAAGAGATCAAACGGGAGTCCACTTTCATATCATAACCAAGGTTTGAATTGATAAATTCATAAAGAATATACGCGTTGTTTAAATACTGACGATGATATATTTGTAATATCCCAATGATTAGAGAAAAAGATCCGATTTCTGACGTTTCACAACTTAGTGTAAGCCGTTTATTCAGTTAATAAATTAGCAAGTTCAAATGGACAAATTTACTATTAAGTACAAACAAAACCTACCTCATCCCAACGTTTGTCCATTCAAGTTAAAGGGACTCCTTGTGAGATATAATTATGTGTATGTGAGCGGCTATGAAAAATGTGCCATTTGTCATGTGAAAAAGTAGAGCAAATTTAAAGGCAATTATAGTATAAGATTTGAACGGGTTAAGAGTTGCCTTCTATTTTGGAAGCGTCATAAAAGCCATACAGGATCAAAACATTTGTAGTGACTCACCTTTATCACGAGAACACGATTGGTTTATTGAAAACAATTATTATTATTATAACCAATTGTACCAGTGACTGTTTTAATGTGCTTTTGTTTAACTGTGCTAAAAAGCATCCATTATTCTTACACTTTGATTGTGACTTCGCGCGAATTCGGTTACGTTCTGTAACCAAGCTTGTATCCTGGCACGATCTCGGTATCATTTCGATACCACGAGATCGCCAGCAAATATATCTCGACTTGGTCCATTAACTGCCTTCTGATATTTGGTTTCTGGGGGATTTTATGGATTATTTGGCACGTGTTTCTCTGTAGCGGTGTTCATAGTTAATCTCAACTTGACGCCACGCTACACATTGAAGCAGTTTATTATTGAACATTTGAATCAATTTTTTTTAAAGTATATAACTACAAAAAACGAAGACTTCAATTTTATTTTAACTTTTGTGAATTAAAACAGGGATCCAATCACAAGTAATGTCTACCCAAAAATCCAAGTTATTTCTGACAGATGTGGTTTAACACGGATTCATTGTGTTGTTTAATTCAATAATGCATTCGGTTAACTTTAGTATACACATCATGATATGGATCGATCAATTTCTATTTACAACAACCACATTAACGCTATGATAATTCGATGGCATAAAAATCAATTAGTGGCATTTATTTTGTAGTCTTGTAAATATAATAAACATATCTGCCCATGTTCATTCGTACTGATAGTGAAGATGCGTAAGTAGTACAGCCAGAAACTGGAAAAATCACCCACAACATGTTGATTATCAAATGATATTTTAACTGATATTAGTTAACATAGTAGATCATTCAACAATTATGCATTGATACAATGACTTCCTAACTTATCGGACATTGAGTCGCAGTTTTGAGGAGATTGGTTTAATTTATAGGTTATATCGATTGAACTCAGAGTACCATTGACGAATACAGCCTACAAAGTAAACCAATCTCTATAAAACCCGTTTAAGCAAGCTCATAAGTGACTACAAGACGTCCCTGAAGCTCTAGTAAGGACTCACAGATGGTCGAGTTCAGACATGTAGGAAGTGGAAATTGCTACCAGTGATATTGGATGATTGTCATGATATATTTCAAGTTGATTGAAGTTACACTTGAACCACCGCACCCCAACTCATTGTGTCTAACGACTGAGTTCCATGCGAGATCTGATGGGTTCAATCCCTGAATGGATCGTGAGTGAGCACCGCTGTAGTATGAAACAGCTGTCCAATGCGTCCTAGTTTTCAGTGATACTCATATTGAGATTAATTCATGACGAATACAAACTACAAATTACCCCAAAACTTTCGTTGAATAGAATAACCGGTAATTACATGACCAGGTAAACAGTGGTAATGAAAACAATTTGAAGATGATAAGTGAACAGACACTGAAGATGAATAACAAGGATTTATCGTGTATTTTTTATATTGGCAACATTGAGTAATTCATATTTCCCATCGGAAATTACTGAGAACTGTAATAAAAGCAAATATAAGAAACAAAACTACATACGTGTACACACACACACATTTCAATGACAAAAAAGACCAGTTAAGGCAAAATATAAACAAAAACAAGCAAAAATAAAACTGAGTAAAATTGCAAGGGTAAAATCGAGCAGTGGGGATAAGGAATTAAATGCTTAATGACTGAATGAGTTGATAAAACATGAAATAAGACCGCAAACACAATAAGTAAAGTTACTTTTTTTGCAATGGATTAAATTGAGTATATGGATGAATGGGTGAATGTAGTGTTGTATACTTTTTGAACAAAAGTCAGTTCGAAGATAAACAGACAAATTTCTATAGAAAAAAACAACAGGAAAACAATAAATAAGGAAATATTAGGATATATATATATATATATATATATATATGAATGGTATAAACTAGTATAAACGAAGTTCCTTTGAATACTGATGATAATGATCCATGATACGAATTACAGGATTCCTGATCTTCTATGTACTCCATTTTTTCTCTCACGACAAAATTTCTTCCCAACTTTTGGTCCACTATGTGAGGATGGAGATAAACTGCCGGAAGGTGGCAGAGCACCACGTGTTTGATGTTTACGTCCTCCTCTGTGACGACGTTCCTTACACATTTGACCTATGAAAAAAATAAGCCAGGAACTGAAAATACAACCGAAATGTATAGAATATTCTAATACAAATAATCGAAAACTGATGTAGTCGTCTTCTCATAACTTATTTACTTACTTACTTACGCCTGTTACTCCCAATGGAGATTAGGCCGCCGACCAGCATTATCCAACCCACTCTGTCCTGGGCCTTCTTTTCTAGTTCATAACTTATTTACCAAGTAGAAATTCGTGTACCCCCGGTTTTGAGCCATTCTTTCGATTTGAAGGCAAGTGATGCTACCAGTTTCAGAATTTAAAGTAGAAGGAAGTTAGATTCAATCCAGTGGTTGGACATCGAGTACCATTAACTACCAAGTGTCATTCATTCATAATCTCTCGATGTCAAGTGTATGTAACACTTAAAGTTTGAGATGGGGATGATACTTCAGTTATGATACTAAGATATGAATTATCAGCTTACTGAAGGGAACAAAACTTAGTAAATAGAACGAAGAAATTTCTTTTCAATTAGTTTTTCATCATGACTCTACAAGTACATATATGATTTACATAAACGAAATAATACTCATCAAGTGGTTACGTAATGTAATGATTACACAATGTATCGATTACAAAATATATTGAGTAATTGCAAGAAAGAGGATTATAACAATCAAATTGTTCGAAAAATCAAACAATTGCTACATTGCGCGCGAGACAGGAGGCCCTGGGTTCGAGTCCCGTGTGCTTCCAGGTTTTCCATGGTGATCTAGCTTAAATGGATTTATGAATTCAACTATTAGATTACTACAACCTTCATAAACACTCATTCTGGTAATACAAAAAGAACTAAGAGATTACTCTGAAAGGTCAGCATTATAGTATTATAGCAAGAATATGTAAAAATACAAAAGTGGAAGAAATTAGATTATTATTATTATTATTATTATTATTATTTTTATTATTATTATTATTATTATTATTATTATTATTATTATTATTATTATTTGGACACATGAATATTGGTACAGGGGAGCGCCAATATATATGCGCCACACAAAACAATGAAAATTCGAGAGGAATACAAAGAAAGAAAAAAAAAGCTAAGGAGCGCAACAACAAAAAAGAGAGAACAATAACGAAGAGATTGGTGTAAGGTAATGTGCTAGTAATCAGGGAACGCAAAGGTACAATCGGAAGAAATCTTTCAGTTACGGAAGACACAACCACTTCTTATGAAGAAAGTAAAAGAAGGTTACAGCAGGATCGCCACTGGCTTCTATTCTGAGCCATATCTGATAACGTCTCTAGCCACTGTGTAGCACCATCTCTCAGACCCCAACCAGGGAGTCGTGAAGGACCGACAGAAGCCAGTCCTTTGCAGCTTTCTTTCATGCCACGACACCATGTCATGCACTGACCACCTCTCCGCTTCTTCCAACCAGTCCCAGAGTCGGCAAATAATGCACGACGTGGAATTCTCTTGGACGACATTCGTAGAACATGTCCAAGCCACCGAAGTCGGTGTTTTAAGATGGTGACATCAATTGCATTATCGTCTCTGTGCCCGAACACACGATACCGAACCTCTGCATTACTGACATGATGTTGCCACTGAATGTCAGCAATCCTTCGGAGACAGCGATGATCGAACACAGAGAGTCGTCTAACGTCCTCAACTCGGAGAGGCCAGGTTTCACAAGCATAGAGCAAAACTGCTCTCACCGATGCGTTGTAGATCCGACCTTTTACAGCCAGACTAACATCACGAAGGCGCCAAAGGTGGCCCAGATTGGCATAAGCCGCTCTGGCTTTCACTATCCGTGCATTGATCTCATCACTCACACCCCCACCAGCACTTATGCAGCTACCCAGATAGACGAACTTCTCGACTACGTCTATCTGCTCACCATCCAGGGTGAGTACAGGATTGGAATCCTGCCAGTCTTGTAGAAGTACTTTGCACTTCGAAGGTGCAAAGCACATACCATACCTACGGACACTGATTGCCAACTGATTAAGTGCGGATTGCATGCCTTGGGCATTATCGCACAGTAAGACAATATCGTCCGCATACTCAAGGTCGAGAAGTCTTTCTCCAGGCAACAGATCCACACCACCATTACTTACATTCATCAGAGGTGTTTCCAGAATGTCATCGATGGCAAAGTTGAAGAGGAATGGTGAGATTGGGCAACCCTGCCTAACCCCACTACTCGAATGGAACAATGGAGAAAGGTGGTTGTATGCCCTCACTCTGCCTGAGGTGTTTTTATATAGGGCTTTTAGGATGTTAATAAACTTCTCAGGCACACCCTTCTTCAATAGACAATCCCAGAGAACAGTTATGTCCAACGAATCGAAGGCAGCCCTGATGTCAAGAAACACTACGATTGTTGGCCTTTGATAAGTATGGCGGTGTTCTAACATTTGGCGGAGGGTGAAGATATGATCAATACATCCTCGACCAGAACGAAAACCAGCCTGCTCCTCGCGAGTCAATCTTTCTCGGGTTTTGAACAACCTGCGAAGTATGACGGAAGCCAATAGCTTGGACGCAATCGGAAGTAAACTTATCCCCCGATAGTTGTTACAGGAACGACGTGAACCCTTTTTAAAGATAGGGACAACTATCGACTCATTCCATGACGTTGGCACACTCTCTAGTTCCCAAACCTTTGTAAACAAACGATGAACTCTATGTCTTTGGAAGAAATTAGAAAATTGTTTGAATAATTCTGAAAGAAGGGATTTAGTGAAAATTCAACTAAAAGCTCACTATCACACTCATTGCCGAGAGAGTGGTTGTACAAACTTCTTTTGGATGCACAAGTTAGGTTTGTGAACACGAATTCCGATAGCTTCCGCAATATGGAACAGACAAACTCGTTAACCATGTGGTGGATGCGATGGAATATGGTGGACAACCTTAAAAATCTTATTCAAGTCAATTTGATGTCCTGTATCCGCCAAGTGAGCGAGAACAGAACTCTTAATGACTCTTACATGTTCTGTTACCAAATGAAAAGATTTAATCCTCGGGTGAACAATGAATGTACATTTTTAATTTAACAACCAATTTTAAAGACAGCCTAATGGTCTTATTATGTAATCACTACAAAGACCACTCCATGGAGATATATTCTTGATGAAATTAGAAAACGATCCAACTACAGAAACCAGTCGACTAGCATTTATTCTCGCTACACAGAACACATTTATTTAAATTAGTGGCTGATACTTCAGTTTGACCGAAACTGAAGACTAGATAAATATAATAAAAGTTAATAATCTAAGCAAATATATCAGTCCTATAAGAAATCAGTCACAGTCAGAATACTTTAAGGGTAATGTCTTTGATTGTTAAATTGGGTGGTGAGTTGTGTCGAGGTAACAGGAGTATCATTTCGTTTAAAAATGACAATATGTCTTTTTAACAACCTGATCAACTAATTAATTTAAAGAATTAATATTTAAAAAGTAGAAACTTGCCCTCAGGACAATCACCATCACCACTGCATCGTGTACGCTAAAAGCAAACAGAAACAATGCAAAGAATAAACATTAGTTTTGAACAATATTTAATTAAGGACACTGAATTTAAAATTTTCTGAATGGAGAACATCCGTAAAGAGAAACCATATTAGCATACTTTTAATTAATATCACTTATAATGGTGTTCAGAATAAATGAAGACAGTCCTATAATGGACGCTGAAATAAGTTATTACGTAATATGATTGGATAGACAACTTTTCATTTTTAAGGAATAACATAAAAGTAAACAAAGGTGAATATTATATATTGTCAAGCTATTTTAAAAATACACGCATGAAATCCAGTCTGAATTTTATGAACACAGTTCACAATCCTATTCAGTCAATCAGCCAATACGTGACATCGGACATTTTATGATTATTATTTTATTTGAACACATAGATATTGGTACAAGGAGGCACATATGCGCCAAACAAATCTCATTTGATTTGTGTGAGGGCTGCGACACTGCCCGGGTGCCCAAACTGAAGCAGGTGGTTTTCTTAGATGGCCACAATCAGACCCTTCGACCACAAGGTCTAGTCAACAAGGCAGTGGAGCATCGTAAGGGGATGCAGTCCAATGGTAGCCAGTGACCGACAATTGGTTCATACGCCATTTGTTCCCTCAGCACACTGTAATCCATGTGCACCATTGGTTTGGAATCAGGGTTTTCCAACTCCTCTAGGTGGACTGTCCGTGTCCATCAACTTGGTTAAAGTACCAGGCATTCGCTTTTCGTCCTCTCAATTTCGTAAACAAAGGTAATACCGTGAGAAGACAGTGAGTAAAACTTTCCTGGCAGAGGCTATATATGCGTGGTTATGTGAGAGCATTTCGAGAGGGAGAGCTGACTCTCACCACTCTCGGCCGTATCAGGGCATTTAGGGTCAGGACTTGGCACAAAGGTGTATCGGCTAAAAATGTCAGTTGAGTTTGCATCATCACAACAAGAGAAGAATTAAGATGAAAAGGAAAACAAATAAAGGACAAACACCAATCACATTAGGAAATTAAACACTGAAAAGACAATTCGGAAAGAGCGTATAACATCGAGAAATAGGATGTACAATACAACGATTAAGAACAGATCAAAAATCAATACCTCTGTGCCACTATGTATAATTTCAAAGACGAAGGTGTTCAACAATAGATTATCGAGTGGACCCTAAACAACTTGTTATTTAATTTTCAACGATAGTAAAGTACAGTTAACTGATGAAGTAATTTTTATCTACACATAACGCTTACATGTTTTTTTCCACGTCTGTGTGGCCGTCTCCAATTAGCACCACCTGAACAATAAACAAAATGGAATACAAAACTATTATTATTACCATTAGTGGTGGGATTTTTTTTATAAAACTATCAAATCTCAAACTTTATGCAGAATGCAACAACTAGAATAAGATAATTGGAAATTACTAGGAGAATTTTATCTCTAATAACTGTTGACACTTTTCTACATAATACACATTATCCAAATTCAATTGGTATTTCTCTGTAGAAAATCTTATTTATTTATTTTCACACCTAGATATTGGTACAAGAAGGCACCAAATACATACGCGCCACACAAATCTCATTCGATATGTATGAGGGCTGTGATACTGTCCGGGTGCCCAAACCGAAGCAGGTGTAGAAAATCTATTTAAGTATTGTTTATCCGGTTCCATTAACACGTTGAAACAACTTTTTTTGTTACAAAAACGCCCAAAATATTTTCTTCTATGCTGTTATATTGTGATTATCTTTTGTGAAAGATTTTTGGAGGTGGAAATGTAAATGATATTCATCCCGTAAATTCATGTATTTACATTTTAATATCAACGAGGAAATCTGGATGAAAAGGAAACTATGAGGATTAGGGGGGATTTTGTTCAATATGTCGGAAAATTCAAGAAAGCCCAAATGATGTTATTAAATAATTCATTAGATGTGCTATTTTTACGACCATACTGAATAAAATTAATCCTATATATTTTTCACATAAAATCAAGCTTATGTGGAACTACATAACTATGATTCCTTATAGTATTACTGGTCTGTGTGCACTTGGAAACAGTGAATAGAGGGAAACCACGATTCTTAACGTGATGCAAAATGAGTCCTTTGACAGGTTGCCAACGTTAAACTGTGGTTTTGCCCCGTCTATCGTAAGAACACTGATACGTTTAATAACGTGGGTAAACCTACTTAAGTAAATTTACATTAACATCCTTAGTAGTCATAATCCATAAGCAGTGATTATTTTAATTGACTGGTCCACCAATTTCCATTGAAACTGTCTGTTTATTTTATTTCCAATTAGTGCCCCCAAATGCCCTGGTATGGCCGAGAGTGGAGAGTCCGCCCTCCCTCTCGAAATACTCTCACAGGGCCACGCGTATACGGCCTCTGCCAGGGAAGCCCTACTCACTGTTTTCTCGTGGCGGGGGTGTTGTTTACGAAATTCAGAGGACGAAGAGCGAATGCTTGGCGCTTTAACCGGATGGACTTCAGTATCCTGAGGGAACAAATGGCGTATGAACCAATTTTCGGTCACCGGCTACCATGAGACTGCATCTCCTTACGATGCTCCACTGCCTTGTGGGTTAGACCTTCAGGTCAAAGGCTCGGGGTGTGGCCCCCTAAGATAACCACCTGCTTCGGTCTGGGCACCCGGGCAGTATCACAGCCCACACCCAAATGATGAAATTTCGATATATATGGAAACTACTCTTCTCGCTTCGAATAACAATCAAATGATTCAAATTATTATCATTACTATTATTGTTATTATTATTATTATTATTCACTACGTCATTATTCGCCCTCTTTTATTCCTACTCTCTCTATACTTATTTTTTCGACTTATACAGCAGCTCGTCTATGGTGGAAGTTCGACTCTATCTAAAAATTCTCGAGTCACTACTGTCCGGTTGAAAATTGTATGTTACCACCGAATATGAGTACTGAAGCAGTTAGACGTAGTTGAGAAGTTCGTGTATCTGGGTAGCTGCATAAGTGCTGGTGGGGGTGTGAGTGATGAGATCAATGCACGGATAGTGAAAGCCAGAGCGGCTTATGCCAATCTGGGCCACCTTTGGCGCCTTCGTGATGTTAGTCTGGCTGTAAAAGGTCGGATCTACAACGCATCGGTGAGAGCAGTTTTGCTCTATGCTTGTGAAACCTGGCCTCTCCGAGTTGAGGACGTTAGACGACTCTCTGTGTTCGATCATCGCTGTCTCCGAAGGATTGCTGACATTCAGTGGCAACATCATGTCAGTAATGCAGAGGTTCGGTATCGTGTGTTCGGGCACAGAGACGATAATGCAATTGATGTCACCATCTTAAAACACCGACTTCGGTGGCTTGGACATGTTCTACGAATGTCGTCCAAGAGAATTCCACGTCGTGCATTATTTGCCGACTCTGGGACTGGTTGGAAGAAGCGGAGAGGTGGTCAGTGCATGACATGGTGTCGTGGCATGAAAGAAAGCTGCAAAGGACTGGCTTCTGTCGGTCCTTCACGACTCCCTGGTTGGGGTCTGAGAGATGGTGCTACACAGTGGCTAGAGACGTTATCAGATATGGCTCAGAATAGAAGCCAGTGGCGATCCTGCTGTAACCTTCTTTTACTTTCTTCATAAAAAGTGGTTGTGTCTTCCGTAACTGAAAGATTTCTTCTGAGTGTACCTTTCCATTCCCCCATTTTTACCATTATTATTACACCACCTTACATCAATCTCTTCGTTTTTACTCTCTTTTTTTTCCTTCCCCTTAAATTCTCATTGTTTTATGTAGCGCATTCTTGTACCAATATTTATGTGTTCAAATAAATAAATAAATAATAGTTTCCTACAGATATACTCTTATAAATAACAACTTTACTTGATTTTTACGGAGTTGGTCCTTTTCTCGAAGATTCTTTAACTGCCTTAAAATAGTATCCAGACGGCATAGGTTTGTTTGGTCAAAAGTCGGGTAAAAGTCTTGGGCTTATTTTGAGTGACAAAGCGTTTCTTGGAAAAAGACTGAATTCATTCAGGAGTCATCTGTATACATGACTTGTTTAATTATAGTATGAAGTAATAAGTCTAATACCTGATGGATTAGTGAAATCTTAAGTATACAAAAAGGTATCATCTGTATAACGAAATATAATTTTATGATTTCAACATATCCTATGCCTTTTATACAGTAATTATTGAGAGAACTTCGAGAGGCCTTATACATATGGAATTACTTTGAGTAGGTTGGTAAACTGATGATTATCCAACTGGAAAAAGTTTAATTTAAATAAATCTGTCCATAAAATAAACTTAGTTATAAGCATCTAAAAAAATACTAGTTGGTAATTTACCTTCAGGACATTGGCCTGGTTGTTCACAATTTCGGTTCTGCGAGGAAACATAAAAATGTAGAAATAATATAATGTATAAACAATTTTAAATAGATAATTGATAAAACAGTACTTCCTAAGGTTGTTTTTATATGGAGTTTGCACTATTTGAAAGGTATTTTTAGTATGAACTAGGATCAATTGTAAAACCATTGAACACCAGATAACACCAGCTAACTGATATTTTGCTGAAACGGAAATCATTAACGACGAGGACGGTCTCGACAACATACATCAGATTGAGCTTAGGACAGATATTACAGGGAGCACGATACTACTCAAACAACTGAGTCAGAATTTAACTGCTCATATTTTTAACTTCAGTCAATATGTGCTGCAGTAGGATTTTCAACTAACATTACTGATGAGTTGTTGAATTACGTTTGATGTGGTTAACTACGTGTACTACGAAATCCAGCTAAAACTTCGAGAAATCCATTTCGAAGAAAACTGATAGCGAGCTGAGAAGAATCTTTTAACAAATACGATAGTCATACCAGCAAAAGTTGAAGACAGTTTCATTAACGTGTCTTTGGTATATAGTGTTGAATGTGAAAAACTGAAATTCAGAATAACATATTGTAATAATTTAAATCTGGGCCATATTTAAAGAAAAGTAGTTTTTCGTAACATAACGGAAAACAGTAACTTTTAACAATCACAAATACGGATAAGTAATCAACTACATTATTGTTGAGAAAATACTAGGAATATTAGCTCGTTAATGAAACTATGATCTGCTATTGTGTATCGGGGTTTAAGTTGTTGCAACTCACAATATCACAGAGAGCGAGACGGAAAAAAAGTCAACAGGATAAAAAACGTAAAAGAATTCGAAATAGGAAATAGGGCCGTATGTCGCCAAGTACAACCTGATACGAGTGTACATCGGTTTATGTTTCCGCATCCGATTAGCACAACGAGATGAAACTGTTAGGGTAAATTTCAGAGTAGCAGACATAGTAATAGTTTCAGAGGTAATAGAAAAAATTATCCACCGAGGAAAGAATTTAAAAAATATATAAATTAGGGAAATTTTAAAAAAATATAAGAAATTCAGATGCTTAGAATTCGGAGGAAGACGAAGAATGGATGCAACTATGCCACTGCAAACGAATATATTTGGGAAAATGTAACGACGATCGAGTAATGAAACCTACGAAATAAACGCAATATTTGGTAAACGAATGAAAAGCAGAAACAGTAAAAATATTACAACGGGAAAATCAATAACAGAGAGGGGGAAACAGTCACGGTAATTAACGTTCAGAAATTTGTCCCAAAATGCTTTGAATGTGGGATAGAAATACAAAAGATAAGAATCAAATAAAACATTTTTGGTGAGTGTTTCTTTCAGTCGCCACTCGCACATACATTTTTGAAATACTGCAGGGAAAAACTAAGCTCATATTTTTAAAAAATGTAATCCGTGTGATATAGAATAAGGTTTGAGAAAGATCGAGCTTTAGGAACTATTCTACAGAGAATTACTGTTAATATTTCTATTGTATACTTAATATGTGCTTGGAATATGTTTATTATATTCCCCTACATGAAAGCTTCGGTTTGATCCAAAAACCGTTATTTCACTCGTTATTCCAAATCTAGAATGACGAGCCCCCAATGCCCTGGTACGGCCGAGAGTGGTGAGAGTCAGCTCTCCCTCTCGAAATGCTCTCACATAACCACGCATATATAGCCTCTGCCAGGAAAGTTTTACTCACTGTCTTCTCACGGTATTACCTTTGTTTACGAAATTGAGAGGACGAAAAGCGAATGCCTGGTACTTTAACCAAGTTGATGGACACGGACAGTCCACCTAGAGGAGTTGGAAAACCCTGATTCCAAACCAATGGTGCACATGGATTACAGTGTGCTGAGGGAACAAATGGCGTATGAACCAATTGTCGGTCACTGGCTACCATTGGACTGCATCCCCTTACGATGCTCCACTGCCTTGTTGACTAGACCTTGTGGTCGAAGGCTCTGAGTGTGGCCATCTAAGAAAACTACCTGGAAGGTATCTGCTTTCTATCTTTGTCTACTAATCGGGAACAGCTCGCGAGACAACAAGCATTAAGATTCTCCAGACATTAGATACATTTGCTGAGTCACTGGTTAGAAGGTAGTAGTTTTATTGGGTAGAGAGACCACCAGTCCTATAGAAAATATAGGCGAATAAGTCAATAATCGGACTAGATAAAATAAATCCTTCCATAATAAATGGGCATTCACACAACATCAAATACAATTTAAGAAAATGCCCTTTTTGAAGATACAACAATCTCTCGCACAGTTAGAACGACTTAATCTCCTAGGAATTTCGATAAGACAATACCATCAATTTACCCGTTTGTGAATCACCAATCACAACACAGAAATAACTCACTCACCAAGTACCTCTTTGTGCATATAGTTTCGAGGTAATGCTTTTAGTGTAAGGACTAGAAATACTAGCTAGCTTTTTAAAGCTCAAAATAATTTTAACTAGTCAATGTTAATTACACAAAAGTAAGTAAATCAACAATCCCTGCATATATAAACTATACAATGAGTGAAAAGAATTAGTCGGAAACACCCATAATTGCGCCTCAACAGCTGAACAGAAAAGCGTTATTGGAGTATGATGAAACGAATGGTACAGGAAAATGTTAAACAAATTCGACTTGAAACTCACATGCTTTCTGCGACGCCTACGTGACCGTCTTTCACCAGGTAATGAATCATCTATCGGTTAATCAACAGGATAAAATTTAACATTAGTTAGTGTTAAAATATAATAATATGATGAAATTCACTAGCCAAGTAAATGGTTATGAATCCGGTTAGTGATATTATCGAAGCAGGTGAAGTAGGATTCAAACCAACAGCTTATCATTTACAAGTGTTTTAACCAACAAGCCACATATTTATGGTCAATTAGTGTGTGTAGTATGAAATCACAACATCAAAGACAAACAAACAGCAAAATTCACACAAAGCTTATACCGAAAAAAAGTGAGTAGTATATCGAACAGCAATTTAAAAGGAATAAATAAATTGCAAAATAACGATAAAACAAAATGTGGAAAACAAATTAGCTCACATCAACTGCAAATAAAATTACCTATAAAATATTGATAATCCTTTAAAGCATTTCGTCTTAACTACATAGAAAAAAAAAAGTTTTAACCCCGTTTGTAGATGGAAACTTAGCGGTTGGAAGTGTTAGACTCTTAATGGCACAGCCTTTTACAGAATCATTAAGTCCTCGTTCGCATCTACAACTTGGCAGAATTACTGCAAAGCCAAGAGCATTAAAAACCGTTTTATAATCACCACTGCATACCAACTACTAGACATCAGCATGACATTCAGTACCAACTCTAATGAATGAATAGTACATAGTTTATTTTTGCCAGAAGGTGCACAAAATTCACTGAGAAATCCATTTGTTTGACAGAAAATAACCAACTTACTTCATGAACGAAATAAATAAATAAATGCTAGACAGTAAGGAAAATAGTACGTGAATGTAACAATAACTGGTCTATGGAAAATAATTTCTAAACTTCTTAATAATTTATAATGAAATATATTTATAAAATAATGAACCAGAACTGCGATTTAAATGATTAACTTGAGGATTAGGAGATTGATTTCCTAATGAATGCGATAAATTAACTACTATCAAATTTCATCTGAGTACTGAACAGTAACTTTTGTAGGCAAAAAACAGGACATTGATTCTCACATTTCTCAAATACAAACATTGAGAGTTTGTTAATTAAAGTCTTGCTACAAGGCTACTTTTTACAGATACATTTTTTACTTCCTTTTTATTCGATGGTACTTACTATCAGACGGCACTAAAAGTCTTAAGTGCTAATCAATGGTCTATTTAAATAACTGAAATTCCACTCGGTATTGTTTTTTTTCAAATGATAATGCTTAGACTTAATATCAACCGAATTTTAGTTCTGTCTTGACTAAGAAACATTGAACTACAGTGGCATGGAACCGAAAATGTATTTAACATGATAGTTTGACAGTGACCATAACCGGTGTTCAGCTCGTATGGGCAGCTTACCAAACGGTTTCAGCGAAATCAATCCTAAGCATAACACTGACTGTATTCTGAAACCTAAATAATCAACGTGCCAAAATTAACCATGCCCCAACTAACTGTTCTACCGAAACAAAAAAAAACTGTCCTCGTGGATTATCAATATATGTATGCACAGAAATAACCAGGTTTAATTTGGAAGCTCAAAACGCAAAACCGATTATTCTAACCATATAGTATTCCCCAGTATACGTTTGATTGGGCCTTTTTATAATTTAATGATTTCAATCCTATGTAACCCAGACCGCTTTGATGATGTGACATAGTTAACAAAAAGTAACTGAAAAACTAGGGTTGTTATATAAAAATAGCCTACTTTTATCAGATTCAAGCCTGTTACCAGACTGGCGTCCTCGAAAATGTGATCTGTTATCCTCTATCAGTTGACTGTCAAAGCTAAAGAGATTAAAGGATAATAAATTAAATGTCAAAAATAACCAAAACAAATTAATTTTGATTCCTATTTTTAAGACAATCTACTTGGAAGACCATCTCAATTATATTTAGAATTCTACGCACCGCCCCCTAAATGCCCTGGTACGGCCGAGGGTGGGGGACCACTCTCCCTCTTCAAATCATCGTATGGCCACCGGCATACAGTCACTGTCAGGGAAACCCTACTAGTTACCTAGCGGTGGGGGTGTTGTTCACGAAATTAAGAGAAAGAAAAATGAATGACCGGAGCTTAAACCGGGCTAGTGAGTATATAGGATCTACATTGGGAGGTTGGATAAACCTTATCCGAAACCAGTGGTCCATATGCGTCCCAGGATCCTGAGGGAACATATAGGATATGTAACTAATCTTGGTCACCAGTTACCATAGGACCGCTTCTACTAACGTTGCTGTCGTAATGTCGGTTGCTATGCACGCCCACATAGCTTATTCTAGCCTCTGGACAGATCAGTCTATTCATTCTTTCCTAGGCACATTTTACCGTCACTTATTCACTTACCAACCTTGACTGATTCTATGTGAGCGTATGTGTGTGCATTTCTTATATTAGTCATTACGTCGGGCCCATTATCTGACCTCAGGTATATCGTTTGCTGCTTGCTATCGAAATATACATATCGCCAATCCTCGTATATAATCATCGACTTAGATCGCGATGTGGTGAATGATGGAATTAAATAAATACGAGAATGGATTTTTGAATACGTACAATCGTTGATCTGAAAGCGAAGCAAAACGAAGTGATGTAAAATGTGATCGATAAACGAACTCACCAATGATAAAGTAAAACGCCCACCACCACATTAACTTTCATTGACCTTGTATGACCATATCTTGTTTATTCACCAATCACAATTTTATGTTCATTATAAAACAATATTTGCCTTGTTGACTCATTTTTCCTATCCTCTAGTTACTGTTCGGTATGTTGCTTATGTCTCTGTTTTTCTCCGTATTAATAGACTGTACTATTTATTTTGTATACTAACGGTGTTAATTTATGTTTTAAAAACAGATAAAGTTTATCAAGCCAAATAGCTTACTTGTTCTGACTTTGGTTAAACCAAGACTCTGTGCTCGACAGTCTAGAGAATAGCTTAGAGTTACACCTGTAGGAAATCGCTTCTTGTAATGATGCACAATGGAGTTGGCTCACTCGCTGTACATAGCAACCGACAGTATACTCTACTGCCTTGTGGATTAGACCTACAGGTCAACGTCGCGGAGAATAACGACCCTCTAAGAAGATTACCTCTGGTTCGGGGATCCGGGTAGTATCCTAGCCCACGCAAATTCAATGGTCTGAGTGGCACATACATACGTTAGTTTCCTTTTGTACCAATATTTGTGCCTAAAAATATATAAGTAATCCTGCACAACAGTGAATGACGTTGATCGGTATGTCATTCGTTTTACTGACACCAGGTATCTAGATCCCAGTAACCCAGACAAGCTGGAGAAGTTTAAAGCAAGAGATGATCGTGTATTTTGGTCATCAAGTTTTGCCTCTCGAAAAGAACACTTCTCTGCTATCCTCAAGAAGTAAGTAACATACGTCGAAAAATCACACGGAACACATGCAACCCTGGTTCCTATTAATAGGCGCTCCAAAGTCTTGAATCCGTTCTTATCACTTCAGAGTATGATTAAAATACCTCCAACGACTATCTACACTTCCTGGTGGACAAAGAGTCAACCTGGAACTTAAGTGTAACAACTACGACACTAGTTATGATCTATCTACTAACATTAGTGCGCTTAGCGTAAAGATCTTGTTGATGAGAGATCTATTAGGCCAAAGAATGATCAAAACGTAGAGACATGCTTCACAATAAGCCGTTGTCTTGTAAAAACTAACGATGGGAAAATTCTAATAGAAAGCGACATGTAACTATAAAGTTTTAGTAGTACAAATAAGAACGTAATTCTTGGATGTGCCGGAACTGGTACTGGAATATAAGTTAGTCAAGGATAGACTTGATATGAATGTAAATTCATTCAAAATGTCATGGCTTAATTCAGCAGAAATATCCTGGAATATGACCTATACAAATGTGATACACAATTCCCATTGTGTGAAACACTACAAGCTAATGAGATCTATTTGGCAGGATTGGTAGACACGTCCATAACCCGGGTAGACAGAACTCCAGTCAACAATACCATCTCCAGAATTTGTTTGTAGCCTTTTCAAACATATTGATCATTAGTAACAGTTCCTTAAAAGTCAACATAAAATCAACTAGATACACTAATATGACTAACCATATAAAGTATGTCTTAATAATAAACGTAAAGTGGTTTTATTAACAGAAAAAAACGGCATTCAAAAATCGTAAATTTAACTTACGAATCATTTTCTTCAAGCTCGTGTTTTTGTATTGATGTAGGCACCGATGAAACCAAGATCACTATGCATAACAAAACCAAAGGGGCCTGAAGCCAAAGACCCATTCTGAAATGAAATAACTTTCCGTTAGCCCATGAAAAGTAGGTAGTTGGGATATCGTCGAATGACTTGTCCAAGTAAATGAGTCGAAGATTGTGCCTTCAGGAATTCCAGACGGAAATAGGACAGCATTCTACTTTGCCAGGTTAGTGCGAAAAGTCACTAAACAAATTACTCAACTAACAGGCAACCCAACCAGACCGAAACCGTAAAGTAAATAAAATGCTAATAGGTTACACGGTCATGACGCACACATAGGACTAGTTATCAAGAACATTGTACAACTTTCATTCAGATACACAGAAGTCAACTTTACATTCCTCAAAGAAATTTCGAGGTAACAACAAAAGATGATGACGAACACATAGTACTATTACCGATTTTGACTAAGTGCTTTAATGAAATCTCAAGTAGATTTCTACACACATTCTAAGTTTGAAAAAGTTCATAAGGGAGCTAGGGAGAGTTGGTCTACGAACATTACTAAATTGTACTAATCAGAAACATTTTATGGTTGACCCAAATTGAAGTGTATATTTCATTTTAGCGTATTCCATAAACTTGCAACAGACCAAGCACCATCCCATGCATTTAAGCTAATGGAAACGCCTACTTATTCAAGAGGTTTCTCAAACCAGTGTTTTGAAAACCTTATTTGAAGTGGTATAACATGTTGCTAGCGAAAAAAGTAGTCTGACGCCATTTGTGTTTAATTTGCTGACTAAGAATCCGTAAAGGAAATTCAGCTTAGAACACTGACCAGTAGTTTGCAGAAGAGTCGCAAAATTTAGATCATGATTTTTAATCGATGTAGACTTTGTTTTCGGAATCATATAACCGGCTTTTTCAAATAAAAGATTTACTGTAATGTCTAATGTACCCTGACTCAACATAAAAGTCCTGATCACATAAACAGATGGTTAATCCATGTAAAGGTTTTTCTAATTTAAGAATTCTTTTTACACATAATGGTTGAGTTACAATTAGGCCTAGAAAACACAATCAGTTCATAACGAAACCCCATCAATAACCAGCTACCACCCTACAGGACAATCAGTCACCTCCACACCGCAGTTCCAACCCTCAAAAACCGTCACACTCAATGATGAATAAGGTCCATGGAGCACATAATTTTTACTTTACGACTCCAGACTTGATTTCACTAACAACATACATATTCGAAAATAAAAACAAATGATAATTACTACCTTAATAAATGCGGCGACTAATAAATAGGAGAATAGAAATCCACACTTGATGACATTCAAAGAATTCTAAGTTCGTTCAGCCTGTTAAAACATACGGTATGTGTCACTATGAATCAGGATCGGTGTCAGTATAATTCTGATTGGTCTTTCAAACAATCGATTGTCTAACTTGTACAATGGCCAATCAACAGTCAGTGAGCGATAAACTGACACACAATCCCACTTCTTGAATGTTGTTTGCTATTCTATAGGAACAAGTCCAAGTGGTTTGGCCCATTAAGAACGTGTGTTTGGTGAATATGTATGCAAAAAGATGTTCTGAGGTCTGACTTTTAGTGGCGTGAACATGTGATAGGCTAACAGCGCTGCTGCCTAAGCCATTGGTAGTGTACCTAAAAGAGCTCTCAAACACTATGTAGGCGATTGAGCTTCCGAGAAATTTTGGTTAGACTTCAAGTATGACTATGCCTTGGGGAGAAAACATATGAGCGAACAACATTGTTTCTAACGCGATCATCAAGCTCTAATATGACATGAATATTTATAGGAAAATACTAGACCAATCATATAGATATGTGTGATGACGATCTAATTGGGAACAATATTGTTCGCTTATTTTCATTATGGGAATCTCTAATACTTGAACGTTTCTGTCAATTTCCCCAAATATTCATGTTTCACTGGTAGTACTTTTGCCTTCGTCTGCAGCAAAAAAAACTGTCAACATTCAACCAGGTCTCCTAATTCAACAATATGATGAGTAGTATATCAGCAGCTTATGCGCGTTTAGAAATGTAGCGAAGTTATCTCAAACTGATAAATCTGTTTAAATCAGTCTATAGATTCGGTACTCATGATTTATTCAGCTTTCAACCTCATTATTTCCTTGGAAAAACACATCAGATGACCAGGTGGACAGTTGAAATTATTTAAATTTTTCTCTGAGATTATCCCGAGTTTAGTTTTTATATTTAATTAGTTGTGCTCCTACTTCGGATTAGTATTCTTTCAATTGTTTATTCGGTTTCACGCAAATGCATTGATTCCTTTGACATTTTAGTCAATTCCTATGAATTGTTGCATAATCATATAACCTTGTTGGAAATTCGAAATTTACTCTGTCCATCACAATTCAGTGTGTTATCACTGATATGCATCTATTAAAATATTTCTCAACTATGGGATCTTCGCTAACCTTGTGTTGTCTCACTATATTCAGATTTGAACATTCAACATAACTCCTGATAGATTTATATTATTATTTCTTTTGTTCCTTTCAGTTTTTTTATTTGAAATCTTGCGCGGTACAATGTCATTTTTTCTGTTTGTCTCCTTATTTAGCAGTCTGACGAACGGCATTGTCCGAGTGCCCAAGTTTTTGGAAAATATTCTAGGTTAGTCCGTCTTTGGAGTCAGATCTAGTGAACAGAATCCTTAATAACTTTGAAGAATTGCAACAGACACCAGAGAATCCTATTTAGCTGGTACAAACGTACGGTCATGCTTTAAATGGTATGCCAAACTCTCACTAGTGTCGGGTAGAAACAGGTGTCTACCTCAGTACAATGGAAGATGGTCGCGCGATTTCGTGGATTGGTTGAGGTTAGACATTAGCACCATTGGATACCGGCTCAGTGGTCCAGTAGGTTAAGCGTTCGCGCTCGAGACTGGAGGCCCTCGGTTCGAATCCCGCGAGCAGGATCGTGGATGCGCACTGCCGAGGGGTCCCACAATAGGACTAAACAGTCGTCCAGTGCTTCCAGGTTTTCAATGGTGGTCTAACATCAACCGGTTCATGATCTCAATCAAAAAAATCTCAATAACTGTCTAGACACATACTCAAATTACCATGTAGTAGAATTAGTGACTAGATATTACCAGCTGAAATCTAACTAAACAGACCAATAAAACATCAAGCCTGATCAATTTTGTGAAACTATTTCTGTTTTAGTGGTTGAAAGAAGCGAAGTTATCTGTTTGAAAATTGTTTTTTGAAGTTTCGCTCTTAGACTATTTATTTCCTGCTTAAAATCATGCTACTCGTCAAGAGTAGGTAGTTCAATTTATTGTTGTAACGAGTTATACTCCACAGATTTTATCATGTACATACATCTTTCTACCTCAATTAAGTAGTTTTATCACCCTTACTTATCATTTTATTCCTTCCTCAATTCCAATAGATGTTTCTACCAAACATTTTCCTCCTGGATCCAACTCTTCTAAAAAACAACTCACTTTTCATGTTGTTTGTGACTTTAAAGTGTAGCCAACACCTAAAGGCCTCGCGATTCAAGGTTTTTAAATTCATAATGTTCATTCTGACATTTACTGCAGCACTAGATAGTTTACATCTTTTGATTTTAGAGATTAGCGTACACCTTATCTCTTGGCTAAATTTCACTTGAGAGCCGCCTACTTGGAATAGAGGATATTCGGCTTGATTAGCACAGTGATCCACTGTAATTTCATCGAACTTGAAAAATCATCTTATTTATTAACCCAATACAGTTGGCTAGTGTCCAGAAGATAACCACAAACAGCTGTTAGGAATGTTGCATGGTATTAGTTAGAATCGATTACACTGGTTCAAGTGTATGCTCTCTCTTGGTTTTGAGTAACAGTAATTCTGCTTGCGTGTCTTTGTCTTTTCGAAGCATATTTTCAATACCCAGTCTACCGCATAAACATCGCTTCTACATTATTTTGACCATTTTACCACTGATCTTCCAAACTTCTTGTCGTGCTAAAGTAGTATAGGAACTTAAGTTAAAACACAAACCTGTTCCATACCCCACGTTGATAATGATAGATTGACCGTTTGACGTACAAACCATAGTTGACAACAGCATCTAGTACATTAACGTCACTTAATATTAGTTGGACGAATAAATGTTTCTTGAGAAACGGACATCATACGGTCAGTCATCTACAACGTAGGACCAAACACATATATGCATTGGTCCGAGTTGCTCTACCTCAGCACAACAAGATGAACACCAAATTCATAGAAGCAGTTACTTCAATGGTAGTACCATATAAAAAAGAATGTGTATAAGGATATGATACAGAGAGAACCAGTTCGTAGAAAAAAACGTATATAGTACTTCTAATCTCATTGTTTAATGAGAAAAGTGTATACACCTACGCCATTATGGTCGATTCTAAGCCATGTTGCCTAGTCTCCAACCATCATACAATTAAGTTAGAAATTCGAAGGAACAAACACTACAACGAATCAAAATTAACAACAGTAGTATTTCAGGTAAACAAAACAGAACACGTTGACTATCTGAATTTGATTATTCAGACTAAGTGGAAAGATCTTTGAGATCGCTTGTTGTAGACGTCAAATAAATTTGTTTTGAAAATTATGTATATACGTATGGTACTGCTCAAAACCTTACGACTCGGCGTAGCCACAATAATAATGAGAGTTAAGAACTTACTAAAGAAAATCCACAGATACTGCACAAAAACGCAGTTAACGCTACAAAATGCTTAAGATTGAGAGGGTAATAAGAATCGAATACATTCGTCCAAATGTCTCTGATTTCCAACCAACTCACGCAAAGTTTGTTATCTGTATTTAGGACTCATCAGTTGCCTTACCAAGCCTAATTCTGCATTAAGGGTTAGGAATTATACAAAATCATACACTTACAAACACACTCGATAAAGCTTCACAACTCTACCAAGTGTCCTTTGGAAACGTCTTATCTGGAAGCGGTTTGTTATGCAACTTTCACCTAAATAACTGGTTGACTTTCAAGCATCCTATAATGGATCTAACTATAAATGTCAATGCAAGCGAAATATCTAGATTTATTTGGGTCGGTGTTTTGGTAAGGACCGAACATCAAAGTGATTAGTTATATTCAATAATCCACAATATATTGCAGTATATTACCACTGGTTACTTAGTGTGACCTTTACTCTCTTGACTGACCAGTCGTCAACTAACAAGTAGCATTCATACTATTACGACTGAGAATCTTGTGTTTCTATTTTGTAAGTGATATTCATCAGGAAAGAAGACTAGATAGCGAGTAGACAGATGTTACGCCCTAGTATGGGACTGTTCTGGAGTAGGCATCTACGACTCCATCATGGCTCGACCCCACAAAACCCATTCGTCTAAACTGTAACAAACTCACAGGTGACTTACTTCGAAATGCGCTTATGAAGTTCTAGTGGGAAGTCACGATTAGTAAAGTTCAAACATGTTATGATTCTCTCTTACGGTTATAAACCAGCTATTCCAATTGCTTAGTATTCTCGGACACCGATTCGCTCGACAAGTCCCCCAAATCAGAACACGGTTGTACAGGAAAAGAGATTACATTCCAAATAACAAGGTTAGATGGAAGTAAGTAACACAATAGGAAGAACGTTACTATATTTATAGTTTTTGCATGAGAAGATTCTAGAGTATTCTCCAAAGTATCGACTAGTGCTGATTGGATAAGAATTAGCCAATCAGCGCGCACCAAAGCAACTGAGCATGCTTCAGTCCAGTCTATGTCCCGCTAACACATGTCTAGAGTGAAATCAACTAGCTATTTCTCTGTGATACTAACGCATAAATTTCCAACAAATCATATACACTTACAATTTTGCTACCATTATTATGATCATTTTCAACTCTCCAATTCATGTGCACGTTCTATGATTTTACTAAACACCGACTCAAGTATCCCGAACAGATTCATCTAATTGTATTAGTGAAGCCTGATGAAAAGTTACCGAATATATTTGTTGGAATCTCTTATGGATTTTCTGATTGAGTGAGCTTTTAAAAAGATAAATACCTATCAATTTATTGAGTATTACCTTATCACTTATGAAAAACTTCGACAGACGATAGATAATATGATCATCGCTTTCATTTCTTTTAAGAAATAGTGCTTCCTAGCTGCAAGAAAGCTAGTACGCAGAATTATAAGTTGACATGATGAGTTGCATTATGGACCCGACTTATTAAAGCTACGCACAACTCATCTTGGAGCTAGTCCCAGTTGAGCGCAGGATTATTTAGAAATAGTTTCGGCATTCATTTCGGATCTCCAAAGATATACGACCATTAAACCACTCAGCACATAGTTCTAAAGCTATAATACTATTTTTGAGAAAGGATCAAGAAAAAGACTCGAGCTCTCTTCGGTTATCAGACGGAACTATGTTCATAAATTTGTGCTTTATTATCAAGCAACACTAAGTATGATGGGAAAAACATAAACTACTCACCTATTACGTCATGCCTACAATGACAAAACAAATTTCAACATAAGTTTCCTCATTTTATTGATTAATACAGAAACATATTAAGAGGGTGGAATAATATTTGCAACTGTAAGTTCATAATTTCAGATATTTGATCAAGGAGCTAAAGTGTAAACTTATTATTTTCTTTGAAAACTTTTACTTAAACGTAGACCTTTATTTACACTCACGAACCCTTTTGGACCAATATTTCCATCCCCAGAAAACTTGTCATTACAGATTATATCATACCTGTCACCACATTTAGCAAAGTGTTCAGTGGGACTTAATAGCTAAATAATGGATTGAATGCTAAATCCAAGTGACGAGGGAAGGGTTACAAACGTTCAGAAGTAAATTCGGAATCAGTTTTTAAAATCTTAACATGGAATCTGGGGGGGGGGGTAGCATACGCTAATGAGTCTTAAGACAAACCAATCAGAGTACTTAACAGTTTTGTTACTTCAGAATAAATCATTGAACCGTCAACTTCAGAGGAATGTTGTTCATAACAAAACCAGACTACCTAATTGTCTAGTAATACTTCATCTAAACAATCAGTTCACTAGCTCTTCATGAGAAATTTACCACAGAATGTAAACTCATTTTGACATAGTTGTACTTTAAAAATACAACTAATTTACAATTGCGATATAATACAGAAAACAAGGATATGTTTCTTTACATCTAAATTTTCAGTTTAGAAAGCGAAATTTTTTCCAGAGTATATCCTGAAAAAGTCTAGTTACTAGTTACCACTTTCGGGTCTGATGATGCCATTGTAGACAACTTCTTAGTAGTTTGCATATACGCTTGCATAAATTTTGAGGCGCATCTATCTAAACAAACTGCTTCACCTTTAGTTAGATCACCATCATTATAATTAGATGGAATACATTTAGCTAGACAGCTACTTGTCATACTGGTAAATACTTGTTGCATCATTTCGATTTCAAACATTTGCATTTGTCTTTCAACCGCTTTATCACCTTTGGTCGACATTATGATTACGATGTTTGTTTGTTTACAGTCACGATTTTAAAATTAGCCAATTTATCAGTCTACAAACGAACATTTGAATAATAAAGAAATTAACGGAATGTTAACACAATACTTTAAGCAAATAAATGATAATCTTGTTTCAAGTTTAAAAGTGAACAATAAAACAAATTGTGGTTAGGTTTAGAAGGGAAATGTTGATAAGATCACTTGCCGAAAACCATGGGAAACTTATAAATGCAAACACAAAGGTTTCGATAAGTATTTATAGAGGTAACTAATTAGTTAAAGCACTCAACATTTAAATATTTCAGTACAGTTACGAACTCCAATTTAGTTTAAACAGTTTACATGGATAAAAGTTTGGCCTGAAGTTGAATATACAAATTAGTACCTATTGATATTGCATTTACTGTTGGGATAAAAAAGTAAAGAAAACAACTGAAATATATCGGTTATGTAGTCTTATTTTAACCTCATATTGTTTACCTTCTGTAAAATCTGTTTGGAAGTATTTGACATTAGTAGAAAAGTAAGTTGAAACGAATGCAAGGTAGTAATTCAACAACGGTTTAAACTCGTAACTACATAGTGATCCGACAAACATACTGAAAGCTAGTTTGATGCATGGAATAATATAAAAATTTTAAAACAAAGGTTAAGGCTTAGAGATTAAGTACATATATTTTGACGCATTTGATTTAGTTATTTATAAATACAACTAATATATTAGGGAATGAAGAGATAAAGAAATAACCAAGGGCATCATTTTTTGTTCTAAAGTAATTTATTATCTGTACTCTTTGAGTACGGAAACAAAAAGGGTAATGCTATATCTCCTCATTGTGTAAACCTTTCAGTGTTGTTTGTATTCAAAGGTGTAAAGGCTTTTTTGTACTTATTTCCGTCGGATTTTTGCTTTCAGTTACAGTAACACATAAACCTCAGCCTTTTGTGTTCAGCGTCTGTTACCTTTAAGGTCTTAAAAAAATACTTATTCTAGAGATCAGATTTTTGTTCTCTTTGTGAGATCAATACACAATTTTATTGCGCGAGTAAAACATCGTTGTGGTAGACCCGCGTGTCTTTTCCTGATCGAGGACGTAGTGCAATGTGACAACTGCAACAAGTGATATCACAACATGTGTACCGGACTCACACCGGCTGCATATAAAAGGTGCTGCAACCCATTATCACGTTGTCTGTGCAAAGTATACTGCTCCACAAAGTCTCTGCTGAGTTTTGAAGTGGTTGAACTGCTGAACATAGCTAAAAAGATGCCCTCAGATAAATAGCCAGCAGCAGATTAACAGTTTTCAGTTTTTGAGGAAGCAGTGAGTATTATCATGAGTCCAACTTTGGATTTTAATGAAACCATCAAGATGGACCCAAATAGCGTAGTGGATAACAAACAGATGTAGGCATGGTTACCGTAAAAAGTATGCTAAGAAACAAATTATAGGGAGCTCTAAGAGATGTGAGTCGACGGTTTCAGGTCCGGATTCACATACCAATGCAAAATAGACTATTGAGGAGCAAAGCCTGAGCGGTGTAGATGATGTGACCAAGAGACAAAATAAGGCCGATGAACTACTTACAATTACACCCAGAAAAGAAAAGTAAGTAAACAAAGTGAGACATTCGCGTCTGACTCCAAACTGAACTGTAGGAATGGAGATATTTTGAGAAGCAAAACCCTGCAGCATGTTAAGACGGGTCTCTGTGACAAGTCAGCCATTTTTCATAAGTTAAGAGAATCTTCCAAAAAGAACCAAAGGTTGGATTTGAACACGACTTAAGTCACATTAAGCCCTCAATAAGCAAACTGCTTCCAGAAACGGTAGGAGTTAACATCTATAAGCTTTGTACAATAGAGAAACAAGTGGACTCCGAGAGCGCGCAGAAAAGCTGCCTCTTAAAAGTTACCTTAGCTCCTGCTAAAAAAACCTAATACTGGAAAACGCACGCAAACTGACTGGGTCCAGAATAGATGTCCGTGAGGATCTCAGACTGGTTGGTCGTATTAAGAGTTATTATTATTACTTATTATTTAAACGCACCAAATAAATATACGCCACATAAATCGTTTGGTTTGTGTGAGGGCTGAAAAACTTCCTGGATGCCCAAACCGGATCACGTGGTTTTCTTAGGAGGTCAAACCCGGAGCCTTCGACCTAAAGGTCTAATCCACACGGCAGTGGAACAAAGTCAGCAGATGCAGTCCCATGATAGTCGGTGACCAACAACTGGTTCATACGCCATTTGTTCCCTCAGCACACTGGAGTCCATGTGCACCATTGGTTTGGAATCAGGGTTTCCCAACTCCTCTAGGTGGACTGCCTGTGTTCATCAACCCGGTCAAAGCGCAGGACATTCTCTCCTCGTCCTCTCAATTTTGTAAACAACAGTAATGCCGTGAGAAGACAGTGAGTAGGACTTTCGTGGCGGTGGTTGTATACACGTGACCACTTGCTAGCATTTCTAGGAGAACGGATTATCCCCACTTTCGCCCGTACCAGAGTATTTGGGGGGTGGCAGAGGTAGAAATGAATGAGCGCCGCTGGAACGGTGAAAAAGCTTATACTTAAGGGTTTCCACGCCGTAGAAGTTTGGAGCGAAACGATCCTCAAACCACTCTGGGTGGTGAGGGAAGATTATTTACAGAAATAAATGTGTATACAAATGCTTGCAGCCTGTCTAATACAATGCCGGAGCTCAAACCAGTGGTGGACACAGAAGACTTTGATGTGATTGACATTTCAGAAACATGGTAACGTCAGAAGTGTATGATAGTGAAATTCAGTTGCTTGGTTTCTTACCTAGCAGGTTTGACAGACTAAACCGTAGGTGTGGTGGGGTTATCCTATACATGACAAGCACCTTAACCATACGAGCTGTCGAGACAGTGGTACACGACTCAGAGACATATGAACTGGTGCGCTGCATGGTCAAATGTAAGCGGTAAGATATTGGATCAGTTGTAGTATACCGCAGTCCAGAATGTGTAGTGGGTGACTTGCTTCTAAGCAAAATTAAGTGCTGGTGTAATAGGGGTAAAACCCTTATAATAGGCAACTTTAATGCACCGTACATAAATTGGGGAAACTTAGAAGTAGGGATATCAGCATCATTCGATTGCGGATTGTTAGAAACTGCAATCTCCCCACTTTATTCTAGCACATTAGAGATCCAACTAGAAATGACCTACACAACTCATCTCTCTTGGGCCTAGTCTTCAAACACAGGGACGATGTCGATCAAATAACTTTCCTCCACCTTTAAGGAGAAGTGATCGCGCTGTAATCTTATTTAAATTCATGACTGAGATGGCCTGTCAAACAGTTGTGTCGGTCTGTTCTAACATATAGAACGCAGGAATGAATGAGACCATCTCTGCAGCCTCGGTTGAGAACTGGATAATTGACTTAGGGGCATGGACTCATTTCCGGCAGTCATACAACCAAGTAACTCAGCCATTCATACCCTAGACAGTCCCAAAGAAGAAGAGGCACAGCCATCCCTGGATAAACAGGGATATTAGATGTTTACTAAGGCAAAAGAAGAAATGTTGAAACATCGCCATTAGCCTTGACACAGCCAGTACGATGGGACGCTACAGGTCAGTAAGAGCCAAGTGTATGATTACGATTGGAGAAGCTCGGAGAAAGCATGAAAAGCAGTTAGCCCAATCTGTGAGACTATCCTCGTACATAAATTACAGAAAAACGACGCAACATTGAATTCCTAACTTAATTACGGAAGAAAGTGGATCTCAAATGACAAAGGATGATCAGGAAAAAGCAGAGGATATGGCAAACTATTTCGGGACAGTTTTCACTCAGAAGCACCTTATAGATGAAAATATAGACCCAAATACAAAGTCAAAAAATCGTCTGCTCACTGTGGACTTCAATTGAGACGATGTTCTTAAGGCCCTTAACACCCTAGACACAGAAAATTCAGAAAGACCAGATGAATTTCATCCGAAAATACTGAGGCAACTTACACATTATATTGCTGCCCCATTGACTACGATATTCAATGTGACTTGGCCAAGGTAAGTTGCCTATAGACTGGAAGGATACAGTTATCACCCGAATACATAAAACAGGATCAAGCCAACTTTCATCAAACTACAGACCTGTCAGTCTCACCAGTGTAGTAGTTAAAATACTGGGAAGAATGACCAAAAAGACCATAATGGCATTCGTGGAAAGCAACAACTTATTAAACAGTGAAAAACATCGTTTCAGGAAAGATTTATCTTGCGCAACAAATCACCTTATAGCATGAGAGAAATGGATACACTCTAGATAATGGAAAATCAGTGGGTGCTTCCCACATAGACTTCAACAAAGCATTTGATAAGGTGCCAAAAAGTAAACTACCCTTGAAGCTGGAAAATCCCGGCATTGCCGGACCTTTCTTAAAATGGCTTAAGGATTTCCTGGTAGGTCGCAGGCAGAAAGCAAGAAAAAATTCCCAGTGTTCTTCCTGGAAACCAGTACTTAATGGGATACCCCAAGGCTCTGTCCTAGGTCCCCCACTTTTTATACTGAATGTAAAGGAACCCTCAACTGTAGCTGTACCCAATGCTAATATATGCTGATGATGTGAAAGCCTCGTGAAAAATGACAGGAAACGCAGATGCATGTGCACTTCAGGCAGACTTAGATATTCCGATTAACTGGTTTAAAAATTGGCTGATGCTTATCGACGCGGCTAAGTGTGTCTACATGCACTTTGGGGACACAAAGGAAAATAGGTGCAGAGTAGGGGGAGTGCCTGTACAAGTAGTCCGGTCTCACAAGGATCTTGGGATGACATTGAGTCATGATCTTAGGACCACAACCCACTACCATGAAGTTAAAGCTTAGTGGTTTAGAACCCTATAGGCCTTAAGACGGATATTCACCAAGTTAGATACTACTATGTTCACTACAGTATACACATGTGTAAACTAAGGTTGCAACTTTAGTGAGAACTAAACATGGGAAGTGTTC